TTCCAGGTCTTTCTGAAGCTCTCCACAAGTGGTCCTTGGCTCTTGGACAACTCTTCTGATAATTCTTTTCACTTTATGGTTTAATTTCTTTGTATGTATGGATCACTTGGGTTGTTACCGACATCTGGTGAAAATTTCATGTCATTAGCACCTCTAGTAATATATTTACTAAGAAAAATGGTGACGTGTTCAATACTTATTTTACCCGCTGTATATTCATTCTGAAGCTGAATTAAAGTAGTAGGCTAATGCGCTAATGGTGAACATGTGAGTTTATTAATAAACCGGTAGGCACAACAGTGTTTAACGACTTTTGCGAGGTAACGCAAAAGGTATTGCAAGGTAATGCAATACTATTGCGTGGGAAAGAAAAAAGAAAAAAAAAAATCCAAAATCCCCCATGTCCCCTCGCGGGCTCAGTAGTCAGGAGGTGTCTTTATGTGTTGTTTCGTTTTTGTCCTTCCAGGTATCTGTCAGAGCAAGATGTTTTAGACCAGTCCAACCCCTTCGTCCAGTTGGTCAGTGGTGTCATATGGCTGCTGAGGAACAATGAGATTTATATAAACGTCAGTCTGGAGGCTGAATGCAACAAGACCCAGGAGACAGGTACTGTCAAGTGGCAAGTTTATTTCCTAAAGAGCTGAAATCAGTCCTCATTCACATATTTGAAGGTTTTCAGTCAACAAGTCCAAGATTTTTTTGACGGATGTTTTAGGAAATTATGTAAAACTGTTATTTTTTGGAATATTTTCCTCTCCTGTCCCGAACCTGTCAACCAGATCTCAGCTCAGGTTGGGTGACAGCTTTTGGATCGGCTCCAGTTTCGCAGTAAATAAACAGTTCAGTATCTTAGCTGGTGCCCTGCAGTGTTTGTGTAACAGAAACTGGTCCATGACCCGATATAAACACTTAGCTCCACCAAAACACAACACTGTCATGTTTGATTAACAGTGTCAAGAGATAATACGCGGCCCTCCCTCAGCTCACATTCTTAACAGCACTGGACTTTAGAGGCACAAACATACACAATAAAACAAGTAAAGAGTCTTTTCTCTATGGTTACATAAAGTGAGACTTGACCTATTAATACATTGAGCAAAAACAAATATTGTCTCAGTGAGCAAAGGAATTAATTTTCATCTTTTAAGAACTTTTATTTTGACTCGCATTTCTATGTATTTAGCGAAGCACATAAAAATATTTACCGGTAGTTGTGGGCGGCTCCGGTCTGTCTCCAGAGTGTCTCAGCTGTATTTCGACACCTGCATGAGAGTGCTTCTTTGACAGAAATAAAGGAGGCGAATTTCCAGGTCTAAAAACCACACTGAAGATTAATAAATCTAAAAATACTGTTTCAAATCTGCCTGTCTTCATGTCAAAAGTCTACTCCAGTACATCAAATTATAAACAATGGAACAGACAAGGTGGATACAAAATGAGCTGGGACATGTATGACTTGCATTTTTACAGGCATAGAACATAAAAACACAGTACGTCATTATTGTCAAAACGTGTCTGCTCAAAACTCAACATGGCTTTCAAACACAAGCACAATGAAATATTCACTTTTTTTTTTTTTTTTTTCAATTTTGAGCAGTCTCTGCTCCGATGTTGCCTTTATTTGCAGTCTAGTTTGTTTTTTCTTTGGTTGGGGGAGGGTAAAAAACACTTCTGTCAATAACAAACCCTAAGATGGACCGTTTTATTGTTTCACAGGATCCTTAAAGTATTTTGCTGATGTGGTATCAGCCAGAACTGCAGTGGGTCACGACAAGGATGGAAAACTGATCTTGTTTCAAATTGATGGACAAACAGGAATAAGAGGGTAAGAAAATGCAAGCGCTTAAGACTGATTTCTGTTTTTATAAACTTGTGGTTTGTTGGAAATATTAAGCTGAACCTGGAGTTTTATAATTATTTCACATTAAGGTGTCGAGAGTAACTCTAGGAATAGCAAAGATTCACAGTATAATAACATGATGTGTTATTTTATTGGCTTGTAGGAACTCACCAGGCTATAATAAACCCAAAGTCCAAGGTAAAAATCAAACATTAGAGCAGAACATGTAACATATAAGTGCACAAGATATATTGATGCTGTTGGACCTAATAGAGATTGAATGTGGCAAACAGATGCAGGTTGAGAGCTATTTAACCCCTGAAAGACTCGTTTCACTAGATGAGCTAACGTGAGGCTCGTGTCGCCTCAGATAATTCCACCAATCAATTGTATTGATCCGACTTTCTTTTCACCCTTGAATTAATGTCCCTGACATCCTGCAGTTCGACTCTAGAGATGAATATGTTGTTGTTAATGATCTGACTATGAATAGCCCAACATTCTCTGACATGTCTGATTTTATCAGGCTGCTTTCTGTGTATCTGCTGTCAATATCAGGACATCAGCTGGTCAATAAAACATGTAGAAGTCAGGTCGAACTAAAGAGCGTGACCTGTCTCTTAGAAACAATTACTTTGCACCTTTTAAACTGCCAAGTATTCCTGGCAGCTGAAGTGACTTGGCTTTAATTCACTCCAAACAGACGTACTTACCTTAGATGCTGTTACTAATTATATTTTTAAGTTATTTAGTAATCATGAGTGGTCAGTATCTTATCTGCAATAGATAGTGGCCTACTTACGCTTGATTTTGAAAATACTGACAAGTAGGACTGTGCGGTATATGAAATAGACTGTAGAAACGATATGAAGTTGGCCTGTGGTCCTGTTGTCAGTTACGTCATCGCACCTGTGTCGACATGGCTGCGAGTCCGGAGACAGAGCAGGAGGAGTTCAAAATATAATGTAAAATATAGAGTTTTAAAACGCGTATAGAGAGAATAAATCCTCAAAATTCCCCCTTCCCACTGTGGAAAAGTTATGTCATGCCGTCATGTCGCAGGATCATTTTCTCCTCCTTCCTGCTGCACGTCGCGCATAGTGAAGCATCAACAACCGTAGTTTTTTCACACTCAAGTTGTCGAAGAAAAAAACTTTTTTACGTATTGTTACCCACAGAGATAATTATAAAAGACATGGACGTTCGTTCAGTCATAAATCCATCTTGCTAATATAACGTGCTTTTGCTCTCATGAGGAAGATGATGAAGATGAGCGTGCAGCAGAGCAGCAGCTAAGTTCAGCAAGCAGAAGCTCATTGTATGGCAGGCAGATATTACATTTATTTGGCTGCATCACACTTATATTCCAGTTATCTGAAATTGTTTTGTGACTAGGACTATGTGCAGCTTATGCCCCTTTAGGCCCTGTCAATATAACATTTTTAGGCAATTTATGCAAACTTAGAATATTTTTATGTCTAAATGACTAATTTTACTTGAAGTACCGGTAATGACATCCACTTTATTTTGATATTGCTGAAAATTTGCGAATGTTTGTGTGTGTTGTTGAAACTGTTTTGCAATTTATATAAAACATTCTTCTGTACTTCTGTTATGTTCATTTGCACTACAGCAAAAATACTGGGTTTGATTATGATGACAGTTTTCTGCAAAATAAATGCTCTGAAAATTATACTATCTTTGCTTTTTATGATCATTTTCTACCATGAATATATACCATTACCGTGAAGGGATTCAATTTATACCGTGGTATGAATTTGAGGTCATACCGTCCAGCCCTACTGACAAGTTAACATGCTCAGTGGACCATCGTTACCAGTAATTCCCAAAGTTTTCAGCTTTATTTATAAAATAATAGTGGGAGAAAGAGGTTTAACAAACAAACACGGCTATAATGACAGCATGTATAGTTTTAAGAACCATTTATTTGTGAAAATGTGTTTGGTGTCTGCTCTGTGCTCTCTCTCATAACTCTCATTTCTAAACCGCTGCCTTATTTTTATTTTCTGTTCATACAGCATGAATCTTTGGGAGTTGGCTGCATTTCTGAAAAAGAACGGAGTGGTCAATGCCATTAATTTGGATGGAGGCGGGTCGTCCACATACGTGGCTAAAGGCTCATTGGCCAGCTACCCATCTGATCACTGGTGAGCAACTAAATCCCTCATGTGGAACACTTGACACAAGGTTGAAATGTCTGACTAGATTTATTCAAATGATTGTTTTCATAAATTTTTATTATTATTTCTACCTTCCACCCTTTATTGCCCCCTCCCAGCGCAGTAGACGGAAGGTGGCGCTGCAGCAGAGAAGTCTCTACCATCCTCTGTGTTCATGAGCGAAGATGCCAGCCAGCTAACTGCAGTGGGCACGGTGAATGTGTGAATGGAAAGTGTCGGTGTCAGAAGGGCTGGCAGGGGGTCGCCTGTGACTCGCTGTTGTGTCAGCCCCCCACCTGCGGACCCCATGGTGTCTGTGCTGAGGGTAGGTGTTGCAGTTTAAAGAGAATCAAACAACTAATTGATATTTTTTGTCTGAACAACTAAAACCCCCAACAGAATAAAAATATTAGGCTCGGTTGAAAAACGAGTCATGAAAAGTGTTTAAAAAGTACAAGTAGACTTTTCTGGTCCTAATTATGACAGCCTGATTGTCATTCAGGAAATGCGTATTTTAAAGCTTCTCAAAAAATTCCCAACTGAAAATCATTAAAGGCTCTGTAGCTCTCTCAGCTGGGTTGTACTTTAATAATATATTTCCTCTGGTATCAGTTATCAGCTCTGTTGGGACGAGTTAAAGCAACCTTCAAAATGTATTTTTGTTTTTCTCACTGGTGTAACGTTCTCCTGTTTATCACATCATTAAAGGGATCCCTGATTAGTTGTAACATTAGGTTTTATTTGATAAACATTTATTTTAACTGTAAAATAAAGACTAAAACACTGTAGGCTGTTTAGTTTTTATAATTTTTAAAAATATATTTTAACATGGACGGACCCATTTTATTTACACGCAAAGCATTCTGGGTAAATGATGAYGTGGATAGGTCCTCGGTGCGAGGCTGCTAGCGAGCTTTATCCACCCTGAAGGTTAATCTTGGACAATATCTGACGATCGACTCTTTTAAATGAAACCAGAGAGCGTTGACAGAGAGGAGAAGGTAGAAATGACTCAGCCTGGAACTGAAAATATAGATGGAGGACAACAGAGCTGCTTCATGGAAGAAGAACCTCAGCTTAGCCAGTTAGCTTCAGCGTTAGCCCCGATGCTATCTCCATATAGTATATGTATTAGCTCAACACTAGCTCGACAAACAAGCTAAACTGAGGTCCTCCATATTTTCAGTTGCAGACTGAGTCATTTTTGCGTTCCCCTCTCTGTCATGTGGAGGACCTCAGTGACGAGAGGAGAATGTGTAGCGCTGAGCTAATACATATATGTTAGTGTCAGGGCTAACGCTAAAGCTAACAGGCTAAGCTGAGGTTCTTCTTCCATGAAGCAGCTCTGTTGTCCTCCATCCATATTTTCAGTTACAGGCTGAGTCATTTCTACCTTCTCCTCTCTGTCAACGCTCTCTGGTTTCATTTAAAAGAGTCGATCATCAGATATTGTCCAAGWTTAACCTTCAGGGTGGATATAGCTCGCTAGCAGCCTCGCACYGAGGACCTATCCATGTCATCATTTACCCAGAATGCTTTGCATGCAAATAAAATGGCCCTGTCCATGTAATATATTTTTAAACTTTTAGTTAAAAAAATTATAAAAACTGAACATCCTACAGTAAATATATGTTTATTAAATAAAGTCAAATGTTACAACTAATCATGGATCCCTTTAATGGTTTCATTGTTTTTGTGTTTCAGATGGATGCATCTGCGACGCTGGATGGAGAGGGAAGAACTGCAGTCAAGGTAAAAAAAAAAAAGCCTCATCTGGTCACAAAATAAGGAAAAAAGTCTCTTATTTTTGCAAATTTATGGAGGAAATAGTGAGCACTTCCACCACAAATTTTCCTCGTCTCTAAACAGTCTCCACAAACACTCCACTGCTTTTGCTTCGCCTTGTCACAAATTGATGTAAGATGGTAAATAAATAAAAATAAATGTAAAAAGTACTTGTGCGCCTAAAGGCTATTTATTGATTAATTCAAGCAAATCTACAATAAATTGCAAATTCATTTATTTTTTTTCTTTTTGCTGATTTGAYATTTTTTGACATAATACGTGGCTGATATCCTATCAGGTGCTGTTTAGTTTGGACAACCTATGATTCTTGTTTGGGAATATTTATTTATTTATTTTTAATGAGAGTACAACTGGTCTATCATAAAAATTAAATGTATTCATTCATTACATGCACATGGTTCTGTTTCTTCTCCAAAGAGTGCCTCCCTGGGTTCTATGGTGACGGCTGCAATCAGACTTGTTCYTGTGCTAACGGCGGTTCTTGTGACCCTGTCCATGGGCGTTGCACCTGTCCTCCTGGTTTCCATGGTGAAACTTGCAAACAAGGTACAGCCGTGTTGCTCTTGGACAGTTAAGCCACTCACTTCACACAAAGTGTCTCTTTTTTCCCCTGACAAACTACAGTACAAAACATCCTGGTGTTCTGCTGCCTTTTGTAAAATATAATATTAATAATAATAAATGTTAAAATTAACTAAAAAATTCCTATTGTATTTATTATTGTTTATTTATTATTGTAGTATAAATATGGTAAATTACAGAATATACTCTCGCTTAAACTAGTTCCTCTCTTTCTTTCTAACAGTATGTCCTCTGGGTTTCTTCGGTCCATCTTGCGCTCAGGAGTGTCGCTGTAACAACTTGTGTCCATGTGACCCGCAGACAGGAAGCTGCAACACCACATTGGAAGGAGAGATAAATTCCACCTTACACAAAGGTACAAACATGTTTTTAAACGACAACATGCCCAGAAACAAAAAACACAAGTGATAGATGATGGTAAAAGCATTTCATAAATAGTTTTCTCTTTTGTTGTCGACTTGGATAACAAACTCTATTTTTTGGCACTAAATATGCTAAATATGTACATTTTGCCTGTATTTTTTTTTAACAAAGTGCACACAGTTTGTGCGCTCATTAAGAACCTGTTTGACTGTTTGCAAAAAGCAGAAGTAAAGACAGCTCTCTTTGTTGACGTCTGATTTAACTGGCAGAACTAGAAAATCTTCATGTATCAAATGAATAATAGAAGCTGTCAAATCTGCCCTGAGTTCATACTTAATAAATTTAGGTTTATCTGTTTTTGTTATATATATTTTTATGTTTTAAAATCAGAATTTAATCAACGTAGAGACAGACACCTTTTTATTGAAAGTRAAACTTTCCTGAGCTGCCTTTTGTTCATATTTTATATATGTCAACAGCAATGCAAGTACCTTTTTTTTCTTTTTTTTTTATTACTTGATAGCCATTTGAATGCACTGTGAATAATTCCTGGTAAAATTAGTTTTTCAATGCTCTTTTTAAAGKATTTATTTGGTTAAATGAAAAGAGCAAAAAACTCTGCGTTCTAAGGAGAACAGGAATGTCGACTTGACCACTGACAAAAAAAACCTGTTTGATAATTGCTTCACGAGTAAATGCCTTTCTCTGTCACCACAGTGGTTTATAAACTGACCTATATATTTTTTAAAAGAGCAACTTTGATTTTCTCAAACATCTTTTTTTCTTTTGTTTTCGCCTGAATGATAAATTAAAAGTAGTCTGTTCCTCCTGTTCAAACCAAAACAGTTTTAATAGATTACCAGGATGAATATCTAAAAGACAAATTGATCCTGTTCTTCTTCTCTCCACAGCTGGGCACTGTCTGGCCAAACAAATATTTACATCGTGGAAGCACGAGGAAGAAGCTAACAGGGAGACGCCTTATATGACTGAGTAAGTGTCAATGTGATTTCCTTTTCACCTCTAACCTTTGCCCTCTGTGGTCCTTTCTGATTGCCTCTATAGGAACAAAACAAAAACCAATGTCCTTTTAAAAAAACACACATTTTGCTTTTGAAGCCCTTTTTGTGGCTTAATATCAGTTTAAATTCAACATGTGAGGGGAAAAACAGAAAAAAAATAATAATAATAATTTGTGCAGTCTTTTTCTTCATGAGTCCTATCTGCCATTAATAAAAAACTTTCTGAAGGTTATAAAGTTTACAAAGTGCGCCTCATCTGCCAGCTAAATGGGTCAGTCCAACTGTTTGAACTTTTATCCAACTAAACAAATATTTTCTTTCAGTGTGACCTAAATGTAAAAGCATGTCRGTAAAATGTGGACAAAAAGTAAAAAGTATGTTGAGTTTTTTGTATTTTATTTTAATTAGGACAAGGCCCAGTCAAGCTGTACTTTTTATCTGATGCAGCCGTCCTCGTGTGACAACTGTTTCCGATAAACATTGGAACTGTACAAAAGTTTCCTCATTATCTTTACAGTAGACACAGTCTGCTGCTCTAAACTTTCTCAGTCCCCTGGAATGTTTTACTGAATACTTTTGAATATTTACAAAACTTACCATGCTGAGTTTTCTCATCTCGGTGTTTCTGCTGCAACAGTTACTCATTATTTTCAACTTTCCAAAATCAGCATTGACTAATTCATGATGAGGCAGATAGATGGTTGTGTTTGTTACAAAGAAATCAGGACTTTAACTCTCATCTGATAGCACTATGTCACTGAGATACCCTCACTCATATTGGAGAATAATTAACAACTTGTATTTGCAAAGAAATACACAGATGTTCAGTTTCAGTCTGAATTCTGAGTGTTTGCGACCAGCTAGCTGTGCAGCCATGAAAATCATGGCTTATTGTTTATAAGCAACACCGTTCACTTTATTTCCTTATCCACCTCTTGCCTATATTGTCCATACCTTGACTTAATTTGTACCCACGTTGGCAGCCGCACCCACAATTCTGATTTAATTTACTGAAGTACATGTTTGTTAATAAAAATCATTTGACATCAGCAAGGTTTTTAACCTCTTGAGCCCCATGCAGTGAACTTTCACTGATCACATCAACTCTTGGATGAATGTATTAAGTTCACACGAGAGGATGTAAAAAATGGCAGGTTGGTGTTCCTGGGTTGCGATGTCTCGGTTTCGGATGGAGGACGTTTGGAAACTGGCGTGTATCGTAAGCCCTCCCACACAGACCAATATTTGCGTTTTGACTCCCACCACCCACTGGAACACAAGTTAGGAGTGATCAGGACTCTGTACCACAGAGCAGACAGTGTCCCTACAAACCCAGGAGCCAGGGAGAAAGAGAAATCACACACACGACAGGCCCTGCAGCAGTGTGGTTATCCTGACTGGGCTTTCCTGAAAGCAGACAGGAAACACAGACAGGACTCCATGCAACCTTCAGGTGAAAATGAAGACCCCAAACCAGTGGTTATTCCGTATGTTGCGGGTGTTTCGGAGAAACTGAGACGTTTATTTTCTAAACATGATGTCCCAGTGGCTTTCAAACCCCAAAACACATTACGGCAAAGSCTGGTTCACCCCAAAGATCCGGTGCCCCGGCACAAACAGAGCAATGTTGTATATGCTGTTAAGTGCCAGGAGGACTGCGACCAGTTATACATCGGGGAAACAAAGCAACCACTGTTCAAAAGAATGTCCCAACACAGACGAGCTACRTCTAATGGCCAGAACTCTGCAGTTTTCACTCATTTACAGGCCAGMGGTCACTCTTTCAGAGATGAGGATGTTCTCATTCTTGATAGAGAGGAACGTTGGTTTGAGAGAGGAGTAAAAGAAGCCATTTTTGTGAAGAAAGACCGTCCATCATTAAACAGAGGTGGAGGCCTCCGTTTTCAGTTGTCCCCCTCCTACAGTGCTGCTATTGCCAGTATCACTCCACCTCCTGTTAACAATAGGTGTTAATTAGGTGTCAACGATAGCCATATGATGTGAGTATCAGTCACATGGAGGCAGGACTTAAAAGCCTGAATTTTGCCTGAAACTCTCAGACTGAAGAAGTCTCTTGGAGGAGAGACGAAACGTTTCATTAGAGAAGAACCCGTCCAGAAGACMTATACAATTTTTTTTCAGAAAGAAAACAAATTGTACAAAATGGCGTAAATGCAAATCTGTAAATACGTTCAAGCAAATCTGTAAAGGAAACATTTTTGACATTTTTTTAAGGCAGGTCTAGGTAGATACCTAAATAGATTATAAAGTGTGTTGAAAAAAATTTTCCACTTGATTTTGAGTGAATATAAATATAATTTCTCATTATTTTAAATATTATATATGGTGGCAAATAAATGGATAATTTTTCAAAAGAACAAACATTCAATAAAAAGTCTTTTTTAAGGCAGGTAAGAYAAAATAAATAACTTTTGGATGTAAAAACAAGATTTCTTAACATTTATTAATGGTACCATCATTGTCCATCCTGTGTAAAATGTAACTTTGCTCCAGTTCATTTTAGCAGTATGAATCTTTGCACAGGTAATGTCCACAAGTGAATTTATGGTTTCCAAGGTTTTTAGCCTGATTCATCATGGTTTTAAACGTGTTATATACTGTTGAATGAAAAAAATATTCAGGTAAGAGTAAAAAATATATGTTCCATTCCCAATATCTCTAAAACCACAGCAGCTGTTTGAATACTTACACTTCTGATGAAATCTCCCAAGTGTTAGCTTTATTTTGATACCAAGATTATTTAAGTAAAATTAGTAAATCCTGAGTTACACTCAATTACATTTCGGCATGGTGTTTTGAGGAAGAACTTCAAGAAAACCCCCTTGTGGCTTAAGAGGTGAAATCTGGCTGTTTTGTTTTGTTTTTTGTCAAAGCAGAGCTTTTCTTTCAGGCATCAAAATACATATACCTCCTTCCTGAAATGGATTTTGAGGAGGTCCCCACAAAGACTCAATTTTGAAAGAAAATTTGTCCTACAAATGTTTTAAACGTTCATAATTTAAGTGACAAGACAGAGAATCTTTTCGACTCAAGTAGGGAAATAAAGAACTCAAACATAATCAACCATTCTGGAGACTCTTTAAATTCTGTTCACCAACTGTTTTCCAACATTTCCAAACAAAGACACATTTAAACTCATTAAGTTGTTTAGAGGATGTAACAAATAGTTTCTGAGTGTAAACAAAAATTAAAGGTGGAGTTTAAGAAACTGCTAACTATACGTTTGTTACTGTCTGTTTTGCCTTTTTCTTTCTCTCACTACTTACAAATGGGCAGATTGTCTGCTACTTACAGGAAAAATGTAATTACAGTATTTCCAGTTTTAGTTTAGACTGCAATTCAGTTATTTTCACAAGGAAAGTTTTACGCTACTAAACTAGAGCCAGCAAGCAAGGACAAGAGAGGAAAGGATCAAATATGAGTGTTCTGCTCACACCCAGCAACAGTACAGGTTAGTGAGTGTGATTATTAATAAATGTATTTACCGTTATTTAGATCATTAATAAATCACTGTGTTTACCTGCCTGTCTGTAGACAGAATAGTCTTTCCTCTTGAATTCAGATTGGATAGATTTGTTAGATTTTTTGACCAACTATACAAGCGATACAATGATAAATGTCAATTTAAAAACCTTTAAATACAATTACTGCGTTGGTTTTTATATCCAGCATCGTTCTTTTTTTCAATGCACAGTGTTATAAATTGACCTGAACTCTTTTATATTTATTGTTTTTTCTCCTCAGGCACTCGTGGCTGACCATCACTGCAGTCCTGGCTGCTCTTCTGATTTTCAGCCTCGTTCAGGYGTGTCGCAGCTCAGGAGCACCCCGCTCCACTAAGCATCAGGATTATTCCTACATACCGTTAGGCGACGTCAACGGAGCGGAGTCGTGTGCCAGAGAGACKGAGACATCTGGGACAAAGAGTTTTGTATTGGAAGACTCTGACTCTCAGGATGAGGTTTGTTCTCCGTCTCGGTCGGAGAGATCATAGCTGCGAGGAGGACCTCGGGGAGAACTGAGAACGCAGTTTTTGCACAAAGGCACTGAAACAGAAGTCATTTTCTGCTTTATTTATTCTTTAATTTTGACAAATCTTGATCTGAGGTTTTGCTGAAATAAAACCTGAGATCAGACTTCCCAGCTGCTATTTCCAGAAGCTTTTTGCAGCTTTTTGTGCGTTTTGTTTCRAACCTTTTGTATTTGAGGACAAAATGGTTGAGTAATCAAAAGCTTTATTTTGTTAATCTTTTGGGTCCACTCCAGTTTCAGGTATGATGATGTTTCCAAACTTTTGGGCAGATAAGCTGTGACCCCTAATCTGTAACAGAGCCATGTCAGTGGATCGTCTTTTATGTTTACTCAGCTGTTTGGGTTAAATCACCACTATTTACTGACCAATGAAWACAAGATCTCTTCAGCAACATTCAATGTGTTGGAAAAATGCAGTGATTTAAAGTGATGAACATGGTAATGTTCGATACGTAAAGTTCATATAACTGAAACCTTATGGGATATGATGGATTCATAGGTTTTGAAAATGAATTAAGATTGTAATTTAATCATTGCGTGACACAACAATGGCCTTGCACAACTATCCAGAAAAGAACCAGCAAATTGAGAAACCGTGACTGCAGATTCACACTCATGATTCATTGTGGCTTTTTCTGTGTGATCTGCACAAGAATTCAAGGTGGTCAAAGTTTGTGAGTTATTACATAAACATGGTCAGGTTTGTTTTATTTTGTTTTAGGTTTTTTTCCTCACATACGGCATATTTACGTGATTCTGCACAGAATATAACAGCTCATGTTGTGGTCATGTGTTTGTCATTGCTCAYAAAAATCACCTCATTTGATAATAAAATGTATTTTTCAGCTCAGGCTTCTTTAATTGTGGCCTCTTTTTCCATCCTACATGCACTTTGTGTCACTATACAAACATGTCAGTTGAGGTTTCATCCACAGATTGCTGCAACTTTGGGATTGTTTCTGTCGACAGTTTACTGAGACATTTTACTGACCACAAGCTGCACATTTAGCACAGTATTTTTAAATAATTATTATTAGATTTTCGAAAAAGCTGTCTTGTGTTTTGGCTGTTACTTAAATGTTTGTGTACCTTTATACCAGTATTTTTTTTGAGGAATGGGGGTTATGGCAAAGCATATAGCATATTTTTTTATTCACCCAGAACCACTTCTGCATTCACGTTTAATGAGCACAGACATGTAAAATAAACAAGATACTGTTTGGTTTTTAGGCTTTCCTAAATGAAACATCCAGGAATGACAGAACTCCAATTGTTTTTCTAGACCTGCACTGTTCAGTGTACTGACATATAGCCCTGCAGCTCAAATAAACACGTCCCGTTTTTCACACAAGAGCTTCAGGCACCAGCTTTGTCATAGYGTTGAGGAATTTTGTCACACTGTAAAGCAACATTTGTCAAAAAGAAAGATTGCCACAGGCACATTATGTACTGTCAGTCATTATATATGCAGCATCAGCTTTAAATAAGCTTATGTTTTTGTAAAACTGTTCTRTGATTTAGATTTTTTATTTTCATATTGTTGATTCAGTCAGTCTGACCATGATGGACTGTTGTTACAGAAATTCATAAAAAGATGTCCTGTTTTTAGACATGTTTTCCAGCTAGGGGGAAAGGGTTTGGCATAACTCCAATAGGGGAAGTTCAYAGGGTCCAGTGCTTGTACATTTGGAGTTTTGTCAGACAGTATTTTAGTACATAATGGTGCCGCCTGTAAATCTTTTGTTCTCAACAGCTTTTTCTATAAAGCAGCCCAGACACTTCTATCTTTAGTGGTGGCGTGCATGGCTGGTTTCAAGCCGAGCATTATGASCTCCCCCTTGTTTGATCAACGTTTGTACTTTAAAAATTCCTTAAGATTGAACCTACAGTATGTGTTGTCATTTGAACTGTCAGAGCTAGGTCTCAGATCTCTCTCTTCTGGTCTTCAGAGTTAAATGGTTCAAGCACTGGTGCAACTACYGGTATGTTTTTATTCATTTTTTTATGCTTCAGCAGACTTCCTGTATCCTGTTTCAGCCCAAGTCTTACCGTTGCATTTTCTTCATGTGCAGATTGAAATAGATATTTTTATTTATATATTTTTTTTTTACCACAGTTACACTTTATTAGGTTGTGTGCTTTTAAATGTTAATGGATGCCGTATTGATCATCAACCTGACATCTGAGCAGCTCCTTGCAGACCTGTAGTTTGAATCATCTGTAAAAGGAAAGACTGAGGTCTTTAAATGATGGGAATAGATATTTTCTTTACTTATCTTTTGCGCAGCAGCTGCATTCCTTTGCAAATATTTCTCAATGAGACTGTTTGTTGTGCTGCAGATAAGGTACAATAATGTCAAACAGGTTTTACAGTATAATGGATGAAGAGGAAGTCCTGTGTCTTTTCATTGGGAGAATTTTTAATGAGTGTGACGAAGCCTAACTGAAGTTTAGTGGTGAACTGATCATTATTWCCCATCTAGTTTAAATGGATTTTCTTCACATCATCAACCGCATGGAAAAGTGACCCTCACCTTGTGGATTATTGTGGCTACAAAGACCCCATTATGTGACGTCATGTGGAGAAGAATCATTGACCGGAACATTTCATTGTAGACCCAGAAAGCTCACTTCTTACAGTGAACGTTGGGGGGTATCAACTAAAGCAAAACAGATTTGTTTCAGTTAAGATTCAAACATAACATGGGAGAAATAAAGTTCTTATATATTGAACATTTAATTTGTGTTTTTATTATCACACAAATGTTTATTTCAGGGATCCTATAGATATCAAACAAAAACTTAGTCAAATCAGTGAAATATGGAGGCAGCAAATCCATCTCATCTTACAGAATTAGTGATTTAATCTTGGAAATAATGACTGTGGAGAAAGATTCAGTTAAGTGTTGCATATTAAACAAAGAAACATCTGTGAATGATTTCAAATCTTTGGTTATACAACACATTGAACTTCTTACAATAAATGATTTGCTTTAATTTATAATTCTTGTAAATAACTTGTTCTCATTGYGCTTGCATATTGTTGGGTATTCCTTGTCCGCTTATAAAAAGTAATTGTGTAACGCTAAATTGAAAGATAATGCTGAGTTTCATGATTTGAACTTGTGTGAATTTTCAAGTGTTAAAATGTTTTATGTCTTCTGCCTTAAAGTGCTATTATATTCACAGATCTGCACCTTTTTCTAGTTGGTCTCAGAAAACTTGTTTAAACTGTCAGATTTCTTCACTTACAGATGTTTTTTCCTCGAGTTGTGAGTCATGATGTTACTTTGACGAACACTGGAAACAGGCTGTTTTTCTAACTTTGCTATTATTAACTCCTTTTGTGAGCTGCAGAGCAGCAGCTCAGCCAATTGAACAAAAAGCGATATGACTGACAGACTGATGAGCCAATGACCAGCTGACTTCTTTTGACTCGTCCCATCCCCCTCCTGTCTGCTGATGCAACTCAAGAGGAGGATGTCATTTTCAGTTTTCCCACCAGACTTTCCAGACTAATATGAAACATTTTTCCCTTCTTTCTTGTCAACATGCACTGTAAGAGAGCTTTTTTTTTCAACACGGTGAACATTTTGAATTGTTTGTTTGATCTCAGCCCATCAGATCCTCTGCTTCTCGCTGCATTTTTTTTTTTCTTCTGGGTGTGCTGTCATGTTTGTGTTTGTGGTCCTGCATGTCGAAGCTTATCGTGACTTCAAGTGACACTCCACCCAAATTCTGTCTGCTATCAAACACTCTAAACACTTGGCTGCTGCTGACTAGTTTCTAAATTAACTTTGAGCACAAGTTCTTGGGACTTGAACTGTCTCAACTTTAAAATATTTTATTTTTCTTCCTCTTTGCATTAGTATTGTTACATGGACAAAGCTTTACACTTTAAAAACCCACACAGGGCRTAAAATAAAGCATACAGACGAGATGACATCAGTTGTTTCAAACTACTTTTTTACAGCTGGTTAATTACTWACAGTGATGAGAGGAAGCAGTGAAGTGGAGGAAAAAAGAACATCTGATAATAAAAAAGCTTGTAACCTTTTGACCTTTTGTTCAGAAATCAATCAGCCTGCAAATCAGACAAGGATCTATTGACGCAGCCTCCCTGTTGGCTAAATACATTTTTAGAAAATCAACAAAAACATCCACTAAACATTGTGAAAATATTTTTCACTGTTTTTTTTTTCTGTTATCTTGGTTTAATCATTGAATTCACTAGTGAGACACTGAGTTGCCTTTAGCTTTGACCGTTATGATTCACTTTAAATGCAAACTAAAGGTCCTGTCACACTATAAGGGTTTAGACAATTTATTAAATTTTTCATTCGATTAACTTACTAATAATTTATATATTTGTTAGCATTACAGTATGTACATGCCTAAAAGAAACTTCACATTGATTTTTTTAAATATCATCTTCAACATTGATGTCTCCAAAATTTTCACAAGTTGTTTAAACACATTATAGTGCAACAGGGTCTTCAATTGAAAGCATTAACTTGTGTTTTACAATAAAGACGTTAACGGACTCCGTAGACTTTAATAAGTTATACTGAGGTGTGTGTTTTGTTCTGGTTTTTAAAAATTAAGAAAAAAAAGGCAAAAATTGGACTAAAAGGCAACACGTTTAGGTTTTACTGATCCATGAATATGCTGAATCTATCATTTTTCCATTTCATCTGAATTCATATAATTAAGGCTCGGTTAGACTAATGTAAAAACAAAAAAAAAGGTTTTTCTACAAACTTTGAATAAAACTTATGTTAGACTTTATATATTTTTAAGATGATTTAATGAAAATTGTGTGTTTTATATGCAGGTTTGTGTGATTACGCTGGCTGTAACTGTCGGGGGTCGGGGTGTTACAGGCTCACATTCCTCTCTGCACGCTCGCCTCCTGAACTGACACACAAACCTATCGTTGAACCTTGACTGACTGCTTGTCTCCAGGACAACGGTCAGCTGCTGGAGGAGATACCGCCATCAGACCGTGTTTTCTACGTATTAAACATCCAAATAAGGACAGAGAGTCGGCTCTGCTTGAGGAGCCGTTTTGGCAGACAGGAACWTTGTAGCTCCAAAACAAAAAATTAGGACCAAAAATGAAATTAGGATTTGGTCACACAAAGAAAAAACAAGTGTTKATATGATTTTGATGATGATTTGGCATCCTTMATTGAAAGCRACCTATGACCTTTATGGTCAAAGGTTTTCTATTGCTAATGTGGGCGCAACTCCTACATTGGAAGTATCCATTGTTAATATGTGGCTGGTGTTGTAGTACTTGAGACTGGTCTTGGTTTTAGATTAGATTAGATTAGATTAAATTAGACCTTTATTGTCATTGTACAGGGCACAATGAAATTACAGTTCAGAACACCCATTCAGAAGAAGACAGAACATAACAAACATAGGAGAACAGGTGCTCTGGGTCATGCAGCCACTGACCCCAGCACAGAGCAAGGATCATCTTCATGAAGACATCATGAGGAGGCGCAACCCTTGACAGAAAAGCTAAAAACCACACAAGGAAAGATGAGGAAAAAAAACATCATATTATTTCAACAATGTGACACACAAAAATAATGTGTCTTGATGGTCATGGTCTTGTTTCGGACTCGACCACATTTGTACTCAGTCTTGTCTCAGTCTCGGACATTGAGGACTCTGGATTTTATTTCAAGATCAGTCAAGACCACAACTGTGGAACTGTCACTAAATAGMCATAATATTGTCCAATTTATTTGTTAACATTTTCACTGAATGTAAAACGTACTGATTCAAATCCAAGCGTGACTCATCGCTAATTTAGCATTTTTGTTACGGTGTCACCCATCCACACCCTGCTTCACTCGCACACGGCATTCCAAGAAAGTGAGCAGCGATTCTCTGGGAGCGGGAGAAGATGTCGGCTAAATCTTCAGTAAAACAATTTGACCACATAACTCATAAAGAATATATTTGTAAAACATCATCCAGAAGAAAGCGTACAGTGACTTCTAAATTCTGCAGTGTTTCATTTTCAGACGGTATAGGGACAACGTTAAACTTTTATTGTCACTAACATTAGCTAACGTTTGCAATCTGCCTCTGTAGCAAAGTTCTTTACAGTACACAGATTTTGTCAATAATAGCTACATATTAAGTTAGCTACATGTTTACAGATTACTCTTTCTTTTAGGGGACTTTTTATTTATTTATTTTTTTCTGGTCTTGGTCTCGACTTGGTCCAGGCCCTAAAAGTCTTGGTCTAGTCTCAGTCTCGATACACTGTGGTCTTGGTCTCGGATTAGGTGTTCTTGACCACAACACTACCTGTGGCTATAGTGTTTTAAAGATTCTCAAGCTCTACTTGGAGCAAAAACCTTCACCTTTACAGAGCACACATTGCAAAGSCTGATTTACTGTTTAATAAACCTGTTAAGAGCGAATTCGTGACATTATGAGCTGCAACAGGGTCTACTTTTGGATCATGGATGAAGATTTTATGAACCTTGAGAAGATCCTTTCCTGGCATCTTCTGTACATCCAAGAATCTGGTTTTACTTTAGGTAGAGTACAAATTGACCAACATTTTCCTGGCACACTCTGTGAGTCATCAGCAAGAACAACACAAAGGTTGCTGACCCCTGTATCTCACTCACAGAACAGAGTTGTGTAACTCACACTGTAAACATTAGWCTTGTTACATAAAGGTGCAACAGAATGAGCGGAGGGAGGCAATGCTTTACGTAGAAAAGAAAGTGTGACRTTTATTTTCACTTTTTTTACGCTTCTCTATCTCTAACAATCACAACGTCGTGTTTTCATTTCTTTGAAGGACATTTATTGGAGACGTGCCATAATCTATATGTGAAGTCAACAATTAAGCCTAACCTAGAATGTTAACTTACTTCCTGTGAACATGTAGTTCTTGTCTCRKTGTAGAGGTAAAGTCTCCAAGGTGTTCTCTTTGTGTATTTTTATTGGAACTGTTCAAAACAAAATAGGGTCATCGAATGTAAGGGTAAACATGATTTATGACACTGAAGCTCCTGAATCATCATGCCACCATACACTTTCTATCAAAGTGTTGTTTTCTCTAACTGCCTCTCCTAAAGTACTTTGTGGCAAATCACTTTGCCTTGTCAGAGGCCGGACACTGGTATGAAATGTTTGTTTTCACGCTCTGAAGGCCACGGTGGAAACACTGCTGTGGAAAAGTTGTTTATAAAAATGTGGGAAGTGTGAGCAGCCAGGGCACATCTTATCAATGTTGTGGTGTTAGGAGTAGTGCAGGTGCTTTTTTTTATAGACAATGGACTTTCTTCAAAGAAACTGATTTCCCTCGGTTTGTGCAATTTTTCCACTTGAATGTTTTTCTTTTTCGTGCTACTCTTGTTTTATAGCAGGAAAGATTCACACTGTTTTTGTGTGACAATAATCACAGCAATAACACCATAAATGTGGAGAGCTGCTGAGCTTGTTTGTTCTTTGTTCAAAGTCTACTTAGCCACACAAATAATGCACAATTGGGTCAAAAACACACAGAATGACTCCAGATATGTGTACAGCAATCTCAGTGGCCMTTTTTCTACACCACTGGTCCTGCTTTTTATTATTTTTTCTAAGCTGCAAGAACACCTCGTGTCTGCTGCTGACTCAAAATATGACTTTGTCTTTATTAAACTATGGCTGGGGTTCAGGTTGGGTTGTGCTAACAGGAGACAGTGTTTACAGTGACTGTGGAGCTGGTGGGGGGCAGCCACAGGAATGCCCAAGCAACCATGATCCTTACATTTAGACATTTAATAATTAAATTTAGCATTTGGTTAAAAAATAGCAAAATGTAAGAACAGTGAGCTCAATAATACAAGTTTTAACACTCAGAAAGTGAGCTAAATATTGGAAAAAGTGTCTGCATTTTTGGTTTTAGCTTCAGATAGGAGTTTTAGATGCAGAAGACCCTTTCTGTGAACTGTTTCCCAACCGTGAACAAGCTGGACTCAGTTCATGTGTATTAAAAATAACTGATTGTGGACATGATGAAACTACCAAATAAGGTTTCAGGTTCAAAGCATCAACCCTGCGAAGGTTAAACTTTCCGAGGGAGTTGTTCTGATCAGACCTGCATGATGCAACCTGCTGCAAAACAGACACCCATTAGATTCAGGGCGTTGATCTGAAAGCTCTGACTAAAGTCTGTTCAGTGTTTATAACTAAATATTGTAGGATCAGCAACTGTATCCACAGAAATCTGGACATTATTAGATTGGGTGGATTTAATAAAACAGGAAACCCCGCAGCTTGAACCGGATGCTGGTCTGTTTATGTAACTGTTTTTTGGTGGAGAAGCTTACATTTTGGTCCTGCTCAGCTGAGCTCTTTGCCCAGTCATGCCTTTTTTTTTCCTCCCCTGCAGCAGGAGGAGGGGGAGTCACGTGGTTAGTGACAGCCCGTATTGAGCACTCTGATTGGCTGAGCGGCAGACGGTCCGTCCCCTAGGATAGGCTGTCCTTTAGTGACGTCACGGCGATCAGCTGTTAGACCTCCACAACAACAACAAAAGAAGTCGCAGTTCAGGGACTGGGGAGGAAACGGGCAGAGAGACAGAAAGAGGAAAAAAAACAAGAAGTCTCCCGATGAACAATCCTTAAGATAACAAWTTTTATAGTTTATTTCTTCCGCGAAGAAGTCTCAAGTTTTTATGTTTTTTTTTTTCTTTCGAAAAGTAACGAATCTACCTCGATTTTAAGGATTTTAGTCGAAGTCTGTTCCATCTCCTCCTCCTGCCGCAGGTGGGTTCTTTGTTTCCTTCTCGGGGAACATTACAGCTCCTATCGGCTCTTATTTTTATTCAAAGTGTGTTTTTTCACCCGACTTACAGAAAAGACATGTTTTACTTTAATATCAGGACGGATTCTTGTGTTGTTACGTCTTATTTTTTATAATTTTACTCGACTTGTTCTGTTCAGCTCTTAATGAGGTTTAATCTGGGTTTAATTCCGCAGAACCTTCATGCTTTTTTTATTATTTCCTACTTATTCTTTGCTTTAACGTCTAAGAAGGCCTGATTGTTCTGGAACATGTTTTATGACACATTTATGGAAATGAAGGTTTAGCAGGCAGGCTATGAGGTCCAGCCCTGCCAGTGTAGGATTACAGCCTCCTCCTCTTCCTCTTGATTAACCATCAAAAGCTGTTGTCACTGGACCAGTTCAACTTTTCCCTCCCGGGCTTCTTAACAAATCGCACTAATAATAATCCAAGGAGCCCAACAGAAACACTAAGGTTATTGATCATTCTGCTCTTAGATTAAGGTTGTTAAACAGTTAATCTGAAGGGGATCACGGTTCATTATTTGCAGAGTGAACAAAAAGAGACTTCAAGGCCCGACTGATTAAAACCTAAACACAGCAATAATAAACATTTGACACTTCTTAAACAGAAAAATAGTTTAACTTAAACTGATGTATTATTGTGTTTTATACTCATGAGTAGAGGGGGGGACCTCTGTTTGCAACCCAAACGTGCATAATCTGTGTTTTATCCTCCTCTATCCCTGATTATGGGGCGTCCATTGTGGTTTATAATCCTGCAGCCTGCTGTTTATCTCTGCTGCCTATTTATGAATAAATGACGTAATAGAGGCGACCCTGCTCCTTAAACAGAACTTTTTTTCCAATGTGCTCCTGGGGAGCAGCAGATGATCTTGCTGCCTCGGTCAGTCGCATTAAACTTTTTTTAATCAATATTATTATTTGTTTGCTCTCCGACTCAGTTGCTCTTGTTTACTGAGGCTGACTGAACTTGTTCCTGAAACGCAAAGAACATCTCCCGCTGTTTCTTGTTTAGTTTGACCGATTATGAGAATTCCGAGCGCACTCCTGGGGCCCTGAACGTCTCACAGCCTGTCCACACAAAGGGGATGCGCGTTCAATGGCAGGTTGAAAAAGTCGGACATCTTAGGTTTACTGACTGACTTGAAGCAGCTGCAGCTCGGTTTGGGTTTAGTATGGTTGTTTTTGTCAACAACACATTGGTGTTTTTTTTCTCTCTCTTTGTTGTTTGTTTTGCAAACTACCAACTCTGTGTATTTTATACAATTTTAGCAATTTATTTAACTTTTCTTTGTAAGGAGTACATCTTGTCCAATTTCCTTCAAAAACACATTGTTCTTTTTGAAATTTGCTTCACGATATTTGTTGTTTTTTTTTTAGCTTTTTATCTAGATTTTTGTTGCTTTTAGATAGCAATTTGCTATTTTCAGTTTTTATTCTGCCACTTGCTACTTTTGGCTTTTAAACAGCCTTTTGGCATATTTTGTTTTAGCTAGCATTTAGCTTCTTTTAGCTAGATTATTTTTTTACTTTTAGCTTATACTTAGCATTTTGCAGATTTTAGCTAGTAGTCTGCTTCTTTTAGCTTTTAGCAAGTCTTTAACAGCATTTTGCTACTTTTGACTTTAATCCGACCACTTTCAAATAGGATTTTGTTACTTTTTTATAGCATTATGCTACTTTTAGCCTTTAGTTTGCTTTCATTTAGCTTTTAGCTAGAGTTCTTTTTGTTTTAGCTTTAACGACAGTTTCAAATGCAAACTTCAGCACTAAGAATTCACTCAGCAGTTTTTCTGGTATTAATGATGATGATGGGTAATCTATGGTTTAGAACAAAGGATTTAATTGTTTTATGTTTTCCAGAAAGCAGCAATTAGTAGTGTTTTTTGTTTGTTTTCTTTCGAGGAAGACGAGATGTTTCTTTACGTTAAGTTTAATGTCACCATATTATTTATGTCTCCAATCTATATGATCTCTTGGTATAAGTGTAAACATTGCAAGTTTGGCCTTTTCTATTTTCCATATTGGTGAGCAGATTTGTATTTTAGCAGCTGCACAGACAGACTAAAGATATTTTGTCAAGTTAAAACTGTAATTTAGGAGACAAAAGGAGGATTAATGGAGGCAGTGGAGTATTGTGTTGTTTTGAATGCGCTAATACTTTGCCAGTTGGTGTCATTATTACAGCAGCTGCAGTGGGCCGGTTACACCGATCACTTTTCGTTTTGTCTACTTTCCTAAAGTGAAAGGCTGCCAGCCAGCTGTGTGCGTGTCCTCTGAGGACAGCAGAGCTCTTTATGTCCACAGACAGGACAGCTCCTCTGTGTTTGCTTCCATCATAATCGATGACCCAGCTGCTGTTTGCATCCACTGAGCCTGACAGGAGGTGCAGTGATGGTGACTCACTTTACAGCTTCGATAAGAGTTCATCAACAGGCACATTGTGACAGAACAGTCAGTTTTCTTTGTTCGTCCGACGTTTTTACTCGTTTCCTTATAGAWGTTGTTTGGATCGAAGTGAAAAAGGGATTCTTGGCAGGCAAAAAAATCAGCTGGAGTTATGCACAGCTGCTAACTGCTGCCAGCTTGTGCAAAGAATAAAAAATAAAATAGGCTTGTCTTTAGATTCCAATATATTAAAAACTGCTTTTGTTGGAACTTTTTAACAAGGAAAACGTTCAAGTCGCAGCATGTTTTTTCAGCTAAGTGTCCCCAGTGTAAAGAATATCTATTAGGGTTGATAAGGTTACTTGTAACTCAATAATTACTTGGCTGGCTGCTCAGAGTTTTGGTTTTCATAGCTACCCTCTGACCCATATTTTATTTTTAAACATAATAAGTTATATACTCAGCTATTTTTATTCTACTCTCCACTTTAATGGGTAAAGGCAGCTTGTTTTGGATGAATACATCCYCCATTAAGCTCTTAAAGTAAAGCTGGTCTAGACAACATGTTATATTATTAATAACTTTGCACAAGTTATAAATAAATTCCTCACATTTTTTTCCACCTATGACTTTGTTATAATTTTGTTCAAATTAATTCAAGTAGATCTTAAATTTATTGAATCATTGTCTTTTTTTTTTCTCCTGTTAGGACTTTTGTTTTTGTACTTTTGCACWCGTGGATCCCTGACGCTGAGCGACGTCCCAGCATGCCTCTGCTGACCGTCAGATGATCTGTGACCACATCTTACTGATGCACTTTAGCACCTTCCTGGAGCCTTCCACCCGCAGCTGATGACCAAAACGACCCGCCGTCGCTCCGAGCCGCGCGCCGCCCTCAGCCTCGCACGCCGCCAGGACGTCCCGGGATGTTCAAGAGGTTCGCCAGCGCTCTGTTCGGGGACGACGCAGGAGAGCTGAGCCGAGGCCGTGGGTCTGGAGACGGCAAGGAGGAAGTGGAGGAGGACGAAGACTGGATCCTGATCAACTACCTGGGTAATTCTTATAGACACATTAGTTCCCACAATAGAAAGACAAGGAAAAACTAAAGTGTTGGTCAAAAAAAAATCATTAAATGCTATTGATAAAATAAAATCATTAGTAGATATTTCTTTTGTAAACTTATTATATTATTCAATCTTGTCAGTAGTACTCTGGCCCAAAAGATTTGGATTTAAACTTTTGTATGTAGCTGTAATGAAACTGTTGCAGGATAAATACTTTGCAAAAAAAAGGTAAGGAGATTTGTGTTTGGTAGATTATTTCTTTGTTGTAACAATGCTTCTTGGTGATAAATCTTGTACCGTTGCAAAGCCTGTWAAATTCCCTTTTAAATGGTGCCACATTTGTAAGGAACATGCATTTGTTGGATGAGCAGTAGAACTGTGTGTGTGGATTGCACACATGAAAAATTAGCCAAATCTTTTCTGCCAAACAGCTTATTCTGCTGTTGGTCCCCGCCAGGTGCTGCCAATCAGGTGCCTGCTTTAAGGTTTATTTCTAAAAAGCATTGTTACAACAAAGAAATAATCTACCAAACACATTTGGTTTCACTTTTTGTGCTACGTTTAGTTAAAGCCATTTGTCTTCAAATCCTGCTTTTTTAATTCTCTAAAACAACAAGACGTACTGAAGCTCACGTCGCTCTTCTTGTGAAGTCGCCTTTTTTTTTTCCTGAATCATGAGGACTGGTATGCAGTTAAATAACATCCCTTTTTTGTTTGGAATGAATGGTACTCTGTTTGCTTTCCACATTAATAGTCTGCAACAGTCTGTACACGTTCATCCAGAAACCATCAGTTATCTTCAAACACATACGTCCACAGTTAAAATTTAGTTTGCACGTTATTGTAGTTGTATCACAGCAATCTCTGACTCACTTTATTTTAGCAACAAAGCACAAAAGCAGTGGGTGATCAAAAACTATCTGTTATGTGTTTTATTCCTGAAGTACTTCTAGATTAGCTAAACTTCACAGCTGCTTTAATGTTGCCCAACCATATTTTGCAGAGCAGCTTTATTAGTAAATAAAATCTATTGCGTATTAATACCAGTTTTATGAATATTGGAACAAGTCACTGATTCGGGACTTTTTTAGCAGCTTCATTAAAGTGTTTGTCATAAAAAGAGAGTTGAAGTAAAACTTCTGAAAACAATAAACATCATCAAGTTTAGGGAAAAGCAGCACAAAACCACCAGAATCCAAAGAAAAGCTGTAAAACCTGAGTTTGATGTACGCCACTTTATGAGCTGAGAAAAAAATAACCTGACATGGAGCTGCAGGCTGGAATTATAGATACTGTTTAACTTTGGAGTTTTGTAACAGCAGGTGAAGCTGAGCCAAGTTTCCGGAGCTGGCCGAGACCAAAAACAGATCCCAGTCAAAGCAGACGCGACATGCAGAAGTTCAGCAAGTCACACTGGCTTTATACGGCAACACGACACACTGCAGCGGTTCCCGAAATGCTCCGATTCGATTTTAGACCACGCGTCGTCCACCGCCAGGCGCGGCTTGACTGCTCTCTGATTCTGCAGCCGTGTGAATATTTCGAGCAGGAGTGGAGGGGGGTGTTGAACCGTTGGCAGTTTATGGAGAACCCAACCTGTAATCAGGTCAAACAAGATTATCCAAGGTACCAAAGGTGATAAAAACGGATCCTGATGGCTCCCTTTCTGGACCAGCAGAGGTAGACATGTATGGGTTCTGACCTGCTGCTGAATTGTGTTGTATTTGGTTTGGTTTGTGTCAAAGTGTAGCAGAACACATCTTTTAATTTTGCAGATTTAATCAAAGGATCTGGGCAGTGGAAGAAATGTGCTCAAAGGTTGTGCACATTTCCCCAAACYCTGCAGACTCCGAGCATTTTGGGGTTTTGTTATTGAAACAGAATTATGTAGAGGGGTTCAGCTGGTTCGTTCGTAATCCAGAGCGACCTCGTTAACCCAGAACACAGCTAGTTGGGTTTACAAATCGCTGTCACCTGTTAAGGTAACATCTCACTGAGCTTCTGTTGGAGACTGGTTGCCGACTCAAACTGGACTTGGTTTTGTGAAAAAATGCACAAGATTTTTTTTTTGCAGCCTCACTGAATTCTGAATGTTTGCTACAAAGCGACCAGTGAGCTGTGTTTTGCACTGCTAATTTTGAATATAACTTGTTTTTGTGTGCACAACTTGCAAAACTGTCCTCTAAACCAGTGGTTCCCAAACTTTTTATCTTCTGACCCACAAAATATTCATGGCAAAAGCTTGTGACCCCAAATATAACTGGTCTGAGTACACAAACTTTGTTAAAAACTCTAAAAACACAGGCTTTTTGACAATCTAAACAGCTTGTACACAAATCAGGTCAACAAAACATGGGCATAGTAACAATATTTTTATACTACGTTTATCCATTTTAAATACACTAACCTCACTCCTTTGTAACAACTAAGGCAAAAATGTAATTAATTCAGAAAATCTTTTCAGGACCCAAACTTGATGTTTTGGGACCCCACTTTGGGTCCCGACCCCAACTTTGGGAAACACTGCTCTAGACCAGTGGTTCCCAAACTTTTCATCTTCTGACCCACAAATTATCCATGGCAAAAACTTGTGACCCCAAGTGTTACTGG